TACCATATACGAGATGCACTTACATATCTACGACGAAATGGTATACAAACTTTATCGATGGCAACTTCATTGGTGTATGAAACTTTCTGCCTGGGCAGCGAGTATTAACCATAAACTGTGCTCTGGGTCTACAGTTAATTTTCACTCGATTTTTCCTCCACTTGACTTCAAAAGACACAAAACACACGTAATAATACGAATCAAAATGCATCATCTTCCAAAACGCAGGGTATTTAACAAAAGTTGACACAAAATTATAACCTATAATTTATAATTTGGCAAGACTTTGACAAGCGTCAAAAATGACAAAAATCTTAAGGCGAATTCATACGCATCGGCGTCCGTTTGTCGTTCATCGTTCCGTCAAACCAATAAAATTGAAATACGATCTGTCATTTTTTAAATAAACCAATAAAACTGGTTAAAAACAAGACACGACGCATGACGGATTTATATTTAAACCCAAACCAAACCAAACTTTTTTTAGTAAAATAAATAGATTGGTATGGGACGTCATCTGCTTTTCTTCTGTCATCGTCTGTCGAAATCTTACCTGAGAAAAAAAACAGAGTATATTAAATATTCGCATAATGCATTTATAAGAACAGCAGTTCCCAGGATCACCTTTTTCAGGCATTCTTTTTAGAGTACTTCCATATATCCTTTAAAATGATTAATAAAAAATATCGTAGGCACTTACTAAACACTTAGACACAATCCACAACACAAAATGAACGTATTTATAAACTCTATAGCTCTAAAAACTTTAAAAACACCTTTTTCACATTTAAAATCGACAAAATAATTAACTCAAAATTTCTCAGCTGTTATTTTTGTTAGTTTACCATAGGCAACCAATAATACACAGTATCATGACAAGGACTACAATGACGTCACAATTGTCAGCTGAAGAGGCGAACGTACACGTCTTATGAGGATGAGCAATTCTATTAGTTTACCGTTTTTGAGCATGGAGTACCTATGGAAGAAAGTTAATCATATTTAAATGTAGAATACCACATTATCTAAAGAAAAAAACATTCGACCAATGTATACTACCAGTCATGGCTATGCATGCGAAACCTGGACATTTAAAACGGACATTATAAGGAAACTACAGATCGCACAACGCCCAGTGGAACGAAATATGCTGGGAATAGCCAAGAAAGGCCGTAAAAGAATAGAGTGGATACCAGCAAAGACCCAAGTAATATATATGCAAACTCAACAGAATCAAATCAAGTGGCAATGGACGGGACACCTGACAAGAAGGATGGACAACATATGGACCACAAAAATTACAGCTTGGTACCCTCGAGAAATGAAGAGACCCAGAAGAAGACTAAACCTGAGATAGGACCATGATATTAGGAAATTAGCAGGAATAACTTGGGCCCGCATAGCCAACAATAGACACCAATAAGCCCAACAACAAGTATCTCCCAAGTAACATTTTAAGTTCCTTTAGGTTATATATTCTCAAGGTTAGTTATATAAAGGTTTAATAAATGTCTCATTGGTATCTTACAATGTTTTGATTTATACATATAAGTGTAGCGTTGGTTACTTATCACTAATAGTAACCTTGAAATGTTGTTTATCACTTTCCTTATAAAACTAGAAGTTCTTGTTACTAAAGGTTTCATAATAAGGTTTTATAAAGGTGTACACATCTATTTTATATAACGTCTGGTATTAGGTGTTATAAAGATACGCAAGATATACACTATATAATTAAAGGCGTTATTAAGAACCATTATGTAACCAATAATACTATAAGTTATATAATTGTTCCCTCAAATCGTTTTTTTGCACCTTTCAAATGTTTGCATGCTTTATATAACCTGTAGTTACCGAATATCAAACCTAATAACATAACCTCAAATTTTTAATATAATCAAAACAAATAATATATTAGCAAGCAAAGCAATTCGGTATTATAATGAATAATAAAAAAATAAACTGGACAAAACACAAAAATACATCTACGTTCAAAAGAAAGGTTCTTCAGAATTTTAAAAAATAGGAATAATCCAAACCTCATTCAAACTACATCTACCAATATTGAAAGCCAACATGCAAATTTACCATCCACAAGCAGAGATCAGGATCAACCTGAGATATTTCCAACAGAAAGTTGCCAAAACGAGCAGGAACAGGAAGATGCCTGGTTAAGGCCAGGTGGATGACACTTCTTATGGGAGAACTGGCAATGGTTGAAAACTTGACTACAAGCGATTTTCTAGGAATCTTCCTTACCGATAAATTATTGACAAGAGTGACAGATAAAGCCTTGACGTTCTTTCAGTATTCGAGTTCATCTCTTTTTCTTTCTAAAGTGTGCGTTGAAAGGAGACAAAAACAATTTTGGGTGACCCATAATTTGTTATTCGAATACCACTTTTCTCCTTGTCGGGTCGTTGACGTTGACTTGTCGCCATTTTATTTCTTTTGTTTACATGCTGCATTTTGCTTTGCAAATTTAATACATAAATTATTTAGGCAAATATAGGTTTTTAATAAAACTCCTCGGACTAACGTGTAGGTAAGTGTTGATAATTTTTTTTTCATCTTAACATGCTCATTGTCGTTCTCCTGATTTTAGGTGACAGAAAAGGATCATCAAATCAAATTGAATTTTATATTTTCCTTCCTATTTATCCTTCCTAAATATCAACGAGATGAGCCATCGGAAGAAAGGGACCATAGTACAAAACAGAAAGGTGATCTTTTTTCTTTCCACTTCGGATATTGAAATTATTATATACTGTAGTCGTGTTCGGCATTATGCTCTGAGAAATATAGATAAACAAAGAACAACAGATATAAAGCATCCCAGAGGAAAAGAGAGGCAATACCTGTATGTACTCTCTCTGATATTTGTGAAAGTTACAGCAAAGTATTGTTGTAAATGTCATCTTTTTGATCGACCTGAAAACTTCGAGCAAAAAGATGACACTTTCAACAATACCCTGACAGATATCAGAGACGATACAGGTTTTTCCTCTCTTTTCCCCTGGAATACTTTTAATTTATTATTCTTTGTTTATCTAGATTTCTCAGAGCACTATGAACGAACTCAGCTTGTATGTTTGAAATAATCGTCCAGTTGGCTTAAAAATGATGATCGAAGACATTTCCCATATAATTTTACTTTCAAAATTATGATATATCTTTTATTTCTAAGCCATCTATGACGCCATTTTTTTCAGTTTTGTTATAATTAATTTTGTCTCTTGATCTACTTGTAACATTATTCTTTTAATTTTATTAATTTATTGTGGTGAAATTAATTTCTGTTGTATATTTGATATTGATATTAAACATATTTTTAAAAAATGGTGTATTTTTTGTGTTTTTGTGTATGTAATAATTAAAAATAAATGAAGAAATAAATTTTTTTATTTTTTTAAACTTCCCGCCATGCGTGACAATTTAGTCCGTAGTTCCTACAAGCGAAATTGGGGGCGCTAGTAGCAGTAGAGTTGTCAACAGTGTCAAATTTAAACGTCAATTTCACTTTCCAATATTTAGCAAGGCGCTCGCACTTCTTCTTGTGTATGTGTTTTGTGGTTAAGGCATTCTCTACCATAAGAGAATGAGCTTTGCGCTTTAACATTACACATTCTGCACTTTTTTCTATAGTCAATTCATTCATAACTGTTCTACCAAAGTACCAAGGGACCCTATAGGACTCTTTTGCAAACTCCTACCACTTTAAATATAGATCAAATTGAACCAAAACAGTATTATTTCAATTTTATGAGGTTATGTTTTGTTTTCTGCACATTTTCTGTCAAATTGCTGTAATGTCAAACTTCGTTCGCAGGGAGTCGCTACAATCGACACCACGGGTTACATAAAGATTTCTGGGTGACTAAAAGTAGCTATAAACACCCCGGCATTTATAATGGTGATTTGTATCACCTTTAATCGTATAAAACACTAAAATTGGTGTTTTAAATAACCCAAACTCATTTACGCAACCTCAAGTAACCAAATTTATATAATGGTTGATGAGTATGTTATAGACCCTAAAGTAATATATTATAGCACTCTAAATATAATGGAGGCCATTATTAATGATGTCTTCATTTTTGGCTACAATGAGTATTTCTAAGATAACGTTGAAAAGTGGTACAAAACTATATTTTGGCCAGTTGCCAGTTATTTCTATATATTAAAAAAGTCGTATGTTCTATTATTTATATTAATAAATTTGACTTTCATTACAAAAATTTTACCATATTTTTTTGTTTATAAAAAAATATATTAAATAATTCTGATTTTGGGGGCGCATATGTTTTTTGGAGGTAAAATTGATTTTCACACAGTAAATTTAATATCGCATATGTATTTAGTACTCTGGCTAGGCACAAGAGATTTTATCAAGCCAGTAATTTCTATAAAGTCATTTGCATAACGCGAACGCTTTTGTAGGCTATGACAGGGATGGCATCATTTTGTCTCTTGTGTCTGGTCTGGATTATCTGCGTAGGACAACTTGGAGCAATAAGATCATATCTGCTTTTTATGTTAAAAAAAGAGGCAAATATTAAAGTAGTTAATTAGAAAGAACCAAGTTTATTTTCAAAAAACGCGCATGCACGATATTTCTATGGAGGTAATTTCTGGGAACCTTCTCAACACAACTATATAACTATTATATACCCTTTTTCAGTTTTATAGCGGTAACTCGATAGGATATATAAAGGTGTTGAGAAAGTTTTCAGGACTTTGGGAAGTTTCCTAACACACTTATAAAACAAAAAATGTTTCTTGGGCTAACTATGTGAGGCATCAGGTACACCATTATTAAAAATGGTTGAATAAGCTAAAAATGATGATGATTTCAAGTTCTGTATTTAAACGTGGAGATAAACATTATTTTTATGAAAAATTTCTCCATTGTCATACTGATGCTTAGAACTATATTTTTTTTCTAAAATTAGTTTTATCTATAAATAACAAACAAATATTTTATCAAAACACTTAAACTGCAGATAATCACAAATTCATAAATGCATTTAACAAAGACACTTCTATTTATTTTACATATTTCGGCCTAATAATAACTAAAATGTACGTTACTAAATTTCTGATAGTGTTTGTCTTGGGATTCTTCATAGGGCCAGTCAGCTTAGGTAATGCATACTACATTACAATTAATAAATTATATATTTTTATATTGTATCTATTTATATGTTTTGTAGGTATTATTCCAGATTATCTATTGGCTGAGGGCGACGACTATGAACCAGTCCGTAAGTAAATAACTCCAATGAGTAAATATATAGGTAAAACATTTTAATTTTTATATTTTTAGCTACATGTCCAGCTCATGACAACGGCACATCAATCTATTTTGCTGCAGTAAATTGCTCAAAATTCTGGGAGTGTTCTAACGGTGTACCAAATTTAATACCTTGTCCTACAGGGCTTATATTTGATGATGTTTTAAATGTCTGTAATTATCCTTATCTTTCCCACTGTACCGGAGAAGGGTGGTCTACAACTAATAGTCCGACGTCACAACCAATTACATCCAGTACTCCTACAAAGCCTACAACTACCACTCCTAGAAGTACTTTTCCAACAACGGTTACGAGTACTATAGTTACTACTCCATCTACAGCAAGACCTACTACATCTACTCATAGAACTTCGAGTACAACAAGTAAATTACCAGTTACTTCTACTTCTTCAACATCAACAACACCTAAAACTTCTCCTACAACTAAATTAACTTCTACTACACCTTCTACTACTACACCTTCCACTACAATACCTTCTACTACTACACCTTCTACAACAACACTTTCTACTACTACACCTTCTACTACAATACCTTCTACTACTACACCTTCTACTACACTACCTTCCACTACAACACCTACTACAACACCTTCTACAACAACACTTTCTACTACTACACCTTCTACTACAATACCTTCTACTACTACACCTTCTACAGCAACACCTTCTACTACAATACCTTCCACTACAGTACCTACTACTACAACACCTTCTACAACCGAAACTCCTAAAACCAGTACCACAAAAACTCCTAAAACTACTACCACAAAGCATCCTAAAACTACAACCACAAAGCATCCTAAGACAACTACAACAAAGCATCCTAAGACAACTACAACAAAAACTCCTAAAACTACCACAACCAAGCGTCCGAAAACAACAAAAGAACCTAATAGTTCAGATAGCTGCAACTCATCAAGTAGTTCCAGTAGTTCTAGCAGCTCAAGCAATTCTAATAAGTCTAGCAAATCGAGCAAGTCTCACAGTTCTAGTTCAAGTAGTTCGAGCGAATCTTGTAGTAATAGTTCAAGTAGTTCATCAAGTGAATCCCATTCGTCTAACGATGAAATCCAAGCTAACTCGGATGAAATTGATTTTGCTGGAAATGGAAACAATGCACCTGTAAATGATACTGTAGATATTGAAGGCTTTTATAAGAAATTGTTTATGAAACAAAATATATTTTAAAATGCCTATATAATATGGCTTGTTTTAAATAAAATATTTTTCACCAATCGTTCAAAATAAACTTATATTATTTACTTAATTTACACTATACTCTGTTTTTTTTTTTCTCTCTCAGGTAAGAATTCGACAGACGATGACAGAAGAAAAGCAGATGACGTCCCATACCAATCTATTTATTTTACTAAAAAAAGTTTCTAATAATTTTTAAGTTAACTATGGATGGGTTTAAATATAAATCCGTCATGCGTCGTCTCTTGTTGTTTTTAACCAGTTTTATTGGTTTATTTCAAAAATGGCAGATCGTATTTCAATTTTATTGGTTTGACGGAACGATGAATGACAAACGGACGCCGATGCGTATGAACTCGCTTTTAGATTTTTGACGATTGTCAAAGTCTTGCCAAATGATAGGTTATAATTTTGTGTCAACTTTTGTCAGTTTTGTCAAATACCCTGCGTTTTGGAAGATGATGCATTTTGATTTGTGTTATTACGTGTGTTTTGTGTCTTTTGAAGTCAAGTGGAGGAAAAATCGAGTGAAAATTAACTGTAGACCCAGAGCACAGTTTATGGTTAATACTCGCTGCCTAGGCAAAAAGTCTTATACACCAATAAAATTACCATCGTTAAAGTTCGTATACCATCTCGTCGTAGATAAGTGCATCTCGAATATGGTAGAAGTACCATAGTAAACACATACTAAAAACTGGAGTAGCTGTAAAATATCGACATCACACGATACGTAAATAATGGGTTTTAGTACTGCACAAGAAAAATAATGCCAAAGGTACTGGTTTAAAAAATTAAGATTAAATTAATTAATCAACCTTTAAGGTACCTATAAAATTTGGTAAGTGTTATTAATAATAAAATAGTTTGTTTTATTTATGTTGTTTTATTTATTCCTGCGGAATATTACAAATTTGTATTTGTACATAAGTTATATTGATAAATATAATCATAAATGCGGGAAGTTTCATAAAGCTTGAACGAAAATAAGTAAGAAATGGTTCTTTTTTATATTTTTTTGGTATGTGGTCTTGTTCTTGATTGTTTTGTATTAACACATACCGTTTTTTATTAAATTAAATAACTCGATTACATTTTTTCAGTTTTATACAGTTTTTTTTCACAATATTTTGAAGTAATCATTTGTCAGTCAAATTTTAAATATATAATTTCTTGCTATGCGTTCCAGTTGTACCAACTTATTTCTTTGTAAAATAAAATAAACTACTTTGAAATTAAAATGACAGACACATCTCTCCCTGTCAAGGATCTTCTTGTTAGACAGACTATACTACCTTCTAGACTCGTATCAGTAAACTTTGATTATTATTTAAAATAAACGTACTCGCATGTTTAATTCATAGAATTAATGAAGTGTTTTTGTGATCGATAGTACTTGAAGATTACTATATCGAGAATACAAAAACTTTGCCCTTTTAATCAGATTTTAACTATTATAATCTAATGTTTTATCCAACTTATGACTGTAGTGACTCATCCTTAAGCGCAGTTCACACGCAACGATTTATCGTACGATTTGCTTGCGGCGACAAAACGTTGCAGGTAAAACGTACAGACCAAGTTGTAGGCACATTATACAACAACATACTATCGAGAAAAACGGCGTTTATTAAGTACAATATAAATAAAAGAAGAATTAAATAATAAAAATAAACTATTTCCGTTATACTTGACACAAAGTGGGTTTCTATATTAAAAGAGCAAACATTTTGACTTTTAAGTGGTCTCCAGATATTCCCAGAAATTCGAAAAAAAAACACATTTTTTAAATACCTAAACTACACACTTTTTACATATCTTTAAATTATACTACACTTGTTATATATTCTTGGCTTTGCGTAGATTAGGTAATACTATAATACTGTAACGTTTTTAGTTCGTTACATGTCTTTTTTATATATAATATATGATGTCTGGCATATCGTCACCCGATTCCGTATCGTTAGGGCCTGATGATTTATTTGACGAATTTTTACGTTCTCTAGTCCACAACCCTGTTTTCGTTTGACACAACCCTGTTATCGCTCTGTGGAGGCGCGCGCTGTCAACATCGCTTCTGTCAACTCTCTGTGATTTAACTTCACTTTTGGTTAGACTGTTTTGGCCTGTCAGACGCCATTAGTCCCAGTTTTTAAGAAATGGTGATTATTTAAATCTTGCTGTGTAATCTGAATCAGCTGCTATTTCGAAGCTACAGGTAAAGATGAGATATTATCCTTTTAGATTCGTTACTATTACTGCGTATTTTTAGGGTAGAGTTGCGGATGCCCCAACCTAACTTGTAATTGTATTTTGCTGGCACGTTGGCGTCCCTTTTCTTTTGTCCTCCAGAATGTCACATGGAAGGAAGGACAGGTTCTTTATTATTTAGTGAGCCCTCGGAAGTAATTCGAGGTAGGTTCATTTTGTTTATAAGATCTTGTTTGGTTTTAAACAAGAGTTTCATATTTTTAGGGTCCAAGGTACGGATAGTGTCTTATGTACAGACATTATCTTATGTACAGATGTCCTGTGGACGAGTGTCCCCAGTAAGAATGATTTTTTTCTTACATATAAGTGCCACAGCGTGGATGTAGCTTGAGTCCCATGCTGCTTCACTCCCATTTCTAAGCCTAGTCAGTAGCTACGGCTGTAGTGATTCACGGTGTCCTCAATCTGGCCCCTTTTGTTGTTTTGGCCAACAGGATGGCCGACAGACAGTACAGAGATGCTGGACCACCTCACGCTGCTACTGTTTGAAGCAAGGTTACATAAAAGAACAGCTAAGTGTATATTTAAGTTCTAGTTTTACATTTAACATCTAAAATATTTTCAGTCTTAAACAGTAACGTACATTTTAAATAATATCGTACAGACTATATTTAGTGGTTAGATTATTAAGAACATTTATGTCGATTTAGTAGTTACAATATGATTTAGATTTTAGGTTTCATTATATTACGCCTTGTAATAGTATTACTTTCTATAGATATTATTATTGCGCTATATTAACAGATGAATAACGAGACATAGATTCTAGAATCTACAGGTTGCAACATATCAGATTTAACACCGCATAAAATTTAACAATTTAAATAAAGTAATGCTACTTTTCTTATATTTTCTATAACGTTACACGCATTGTATTTTTTCATAGTCTTTTCATAGAACATATTTAATATTATTTACATACATAGTTTTACTCAACAAATAACCACTATAATAATTATTAAAATTGTACAATGCTATTTACCATCAGAATTCATCATGAATAAATATAGTCATCAGTTTTAAGTATTATACAACTGTGTTTTCTTTCTCTGTACACGCCTGGCGCCCAATATCTATTTTTTTGTTTATTGTTCTTAATTAGTTTTCTTTCCAGTGAAATACCTTATCCACGACTGCTCTCCGATGAAAAGCTGCCGTTCGCAGTGGTAGTTGTTTAAAAAACACTACAATACTATGGGTGCTCTATCTTCCATCTCACGAGGTTTACTCTCGTAGGGCAGTTTCTAGTGACGACACCAATTATGCGTACTAGGTTCTTTTTGTGCTCTAATAGTTGTTTTGTCTTTTTGCTATCTACCACCGGCCACAATCTTCGAGCTGTAGCGCAGTCCTCACGGTGTTGCCACGTCTCTTGCTGTTTAGCCTGAATGGTAATTCCTATAGCTTCCTTCAGTGTGTTTCCTGTCCTCTGGCTCCCTCTTTGGCGAGTCTGTCCGCTTCCTGGTTGCCCACCACATTGCTGTGGCCTGGCAACCAGCAAAGAGTGGTCCCGCCCAGTCCCGCCATGACGCAGCCAGGACAGTGCTTCTCGGCAATCCATCACACTTTTTGATCTCACTGATTACGCACACAAACTTTTTTTGTCGAAAAATAAAATTCGAAGAAAACATAATAAATCCAAGACACCTCCCATATCGGATCGCAGAGTGAGTCTTACATAAGTGCAAATATTTTTATTTCGACCCCAGAAACACGATTCTGGCGTTTGGCGAAAATAAAATTGAAAATTTGGAATTTTTTGATTTTTAGTTTTTTAGATAGATAAAAAATATAATTTCTCAATGATATGACAACATAGGTAGTAAATTAAATATACAAGAAAGAAAACTCAGAAAAGATCCAGGGGTTCTCAAAATTTAAGCAAAAAATCATTTGTTTTTTGGAAATTTTCAAAGTAAGATAACTTGGTTATTTTGGACTTTGATTATTGGAAAAACAGTGAAGAGTAAATATGTTTCTTTTATCGAGTCCTACTAGCCCTGAAAATGTTTGTACTTTATACGACTATGATTTTGTCGTTTACTGGTCAAATAGAAACTAACTGCATCAAAACCTTCGACTTTCTAATTGAGAGGGTGATTGCAATAACCAAGCAGCTCCACTTTTTTTAGAAAATAAGATTTCTACTCAATTACCCATTAATAATAGCCTAATCGTTCTCTGCAACAATCAGATATCTCCATTTAACAATACATAAATGACAACGTTATTTGGAGCTGCCCTGCTTTCAGTTCTCAGCAAACAAAATTTCTTAAAATGGAGCTGCCAGGTTATTGCAGCCACAATTATTTAAATTCTTTCATCAAATTTCAACTAAAGTTACTGGGATAAATAGAAGAAATTAAAACAAACATCGAAACTCCAAAACGTATATATTAATTTATAATAAAGCTTCACATATTTATTATTAGTATAAAAATAAAAAATTTACCCTCCAAAACTGTACGAATACGAATACGAATTATGGAACGATTGCCCAGTATTCCCCAATCTAAAACTACTCATCATAGGCGGCTGATACCGAAGTTTCTCGAACGTCTTCGGAACCGAAGGATCCCAATTACACTTAAAGTAGTTCCCAGCTATCGGGTGTCCCAAACTATACTGCTTTGCAAAGTTCCTCATCGAAAACCCTTGCCTAGCCGGCAGAGAATAAGCAGGTATACGAGGTTGATTGAAGTTAATCTGTCTGGCTTGTTTGTAGATCATGTAGGTGTATCTGTGGGGTCCACTGCCTTTCTGTGGACACGTTGGCATGTACTCTGCCAGAGTCTGACCTTGACGTATGTTATTCCCGGGAATATTCCCCACGAGCCAGTGGTTCCAGCCTCCGGGTCCCGATTCTTTGGATTTGGGTGCGTCCGGGTCCATCATGCAAAGGGTGTAGAGGGAGTTCTTGTCGGCTTCCCAGTAGATGCTGGGTGGGTTCTTGGTTTGGGAAGGTGTGAGCTCTTTGCCGAGGTCGACTTGACCACCGCTGGGGAAAGCGACTTCTGCGAGTTTTTCGGGACATCTGTCTACAACGTCTGGAACTATTTTGTCGCCTTTCATGGTTTTGAAAACTGAAACGGTACTAAATATTAATACTATTTATATTTTTCTTTTATTATTTTTTTTGTTGATGCTTTAAAAATGCCTTTGATACCCTATAATATACGGGGGAGTCTTAAATAAGTATATTTCGATCCCTACAACATAGGTTTATGACCATAGACTTAAAATAAAATATAGACTACACTATTTACATCTCAACGCGGACAAACAACCTTTTTTGTACACATGTTTACTTCTGGGTACAGTCGACCGAGCCTTCCTCATCCAGCCTATGTTGTCACGTCTTTAATATTATCAATATTTTTTTTCTTGTTATACACATATATTGAGATATTAATACTACAGTTTAATAAAGTAGGTTTTAATATTCCATAGATGTATTAAATAGTCCTTATACTACTAAATTTATACTGTTTAATAAGGATAAGTTCTTTACAATATGACAACACCGATTAGAGGCGAGGGAGCCTATTCATTCATTTATTACCTTGCAGTACGCGTCGCACGTGTGCGGTAAAGCTTTGTTGCCGCTATCTCCCCGGCTGTATTAACGCATTTTCTTAGCTTGTAGTCCTTAAGTGTTTATTTTATTGACTTTTTCTGTTCAAAAACTATAAAATATGGTTCGCCAGGGCCAAATTTGCAAGAAATTTGACTTAAATAATCCATTTAAGTCTTGAAACGACTTTTGACCAGTAGGCAACTCTCAATTTACCCATTGGGAGTCAGTGGCGTTGTTGTAGAAAGGCGCTTATTTAGATAATATTTTAGTAAAATGTAAAATCTGAATTTTTTCTTTTACATTACATTATTTACTTACTTACATTGTAACAAAATCATAATTATAACCCTGTTAATAATTATTAATGTTTTTATTAAAAATATATTCCGGTTTATTCTAAAATTATCTTCAGAATCTAAAATAACATACAAGAATTTTAAAATGATATTACATTATGAAACAATATTTTTTAATATACCGGGTCGTCTCAAAAGTGGCTCACCCCTATAACTTTTTTTATTTTTTCAGATAAAAAAACAGATTTGTATATTAGTAGGTATAAGATATAAATTAGGATTTATTGACGTATTCAGTTGTTTTTGGTCTCTTCCTGTTTCACCGAAATGATTACATCTTTTGATTTTTAAAGGCACCTTCGGTATATTGCTACTTTATTCGATAAAAAATGACACTCTGAATAGAATGACATATCATATGTCAACTTTTGACATTGTCACTTAAAAACATATCCTATTTTAAATTTCAATCCAGTTTTTTTCAATCCACTAAGTTTTAATCAAGGAGCCTTGGAAAAATAGTTTTGATCGTCTAATAGGTTTCGTGTCTTGTCTAGGCCGGTTAAAAGATGTACAAATCGTATTTTTAATCATACATATGTCAATTTTTTCAAATGGAACAAGGGTGACTCATTAGCATATTTGGAAAAAGCATTTTTTATGAATATATTGATACCACACACTTGGTATTTCGAGTCAAATTGTCGTTATGAACCGCGTGTTACAATTACAATTAAACCATATGCGAAAATGTCAAAAGTTGACATATGGTATGTCATTCTATTCAGAGTGTCATTTTCTATCGAATAAAGTAGAAATATACCGAGGGTGCCGTTTAAAAATTAAAAGTTAGAGTCATTTCCGGTGAAACAGGAAGTGACCAAAAACAATTGAATGCGTCAATCAATCCTAATTTATTTCATATACTAACATACTAAATCTTGTTTTTTTATTTGAAAATATAAAAAAATTATGGGGATGAGCCACTTTTGAGACGCACCCGGTATAATAAAGACAGTACCGAGTTAAATAAATGTAGTTTTTATTTTATCCACTTTCTATCACCTTCCTTGCTTTAATGGAACAGATTTATGTTTTCTCTAATTTACATAATAAGACATCACTTAACCAGAAAAAAAATTACAACAATCATATTTTTTTTTCTCTCCCTGTCGCCGATTCTATTATATCTGTGGAATAGATCCTGTTTTGATTAATATTAGGGTTTGTAAATATTTGACTAAAATTAATAATTTATTATTAATTTCAAAAATTACCTAATTTCGATTATAAAATTTCTTCTATAACGTGTATTTTATTATTTTTATCCTTTTGGACTCTAAGTTGTTTTTTCTAAACTTTTATTTAAAAACCTGTCCTAAATCTTAATAAAATATAAAAAGTTTAAATACGATATATTTTTAATTTAATTATAGCTTCATTAAAATAAAAAAATTACCCGGCTATGATACGGAGAGTTCAGGTGTACTTGAGAAACGAAAGACAGTGTTGTGTTTCTCGGCAGAGTCGTCAGGGAACGACCGTTACGACAGAGACAACCTATCTATCGCTCGTGTCGCACTCGTTATAACGTAAAACAATAACACAACAATAACAAGACAGTGTCTGACCGCATGTTCCAACTATTTATGAATGAGATGTTCAGTCTATATTTTATTTTAAGTCTATGTTTATGACATTTTTTGCGTAACATTTTATTGAAAATTTTGTCTTTTGCGAAAAGTTTTTTAGATTATTTTTAATTTTCAGTTAATGGCAACTACTGGGTACTATAAGCGTTACCAAATAAAAATTTAGTTGCGTCATCGATGGCGCGATTGTTAAATTCATTGTTGCCAACCATGGACATATTCGGCGCCGGACTAAGTAACTGGAATTTAAATTTCCCGCTGCGGATTCAGGTGGTAGCCCTGCTGTAAAAAATCTCAAATTGTCACATTTATTTATTTATTTCCTGACATTGTCATTCATTTTGACACTTTAGTTTTGTGTTACGAGTTTTTGGTTTAAGTGAAGTGTGTTGTGATACTTACTTTAGCTTAAAAATTTTTTACTGGCAAATCCTTGCAGTCGAAAATTGTTCTTTTTAGGACCGCTTTTAGTCTGAAGTGAACAAGATGCCGAAGCAGCATAACAGCCGTTGTAAAAGACTCATCGCAACATTATTAGAATAATTTGAACGGGAAAGCGTTGTGCCGGTCAAGCTTAATCAGGTGACTAAAACTTTATTTGGTATTATCTATATATTAAATTTAAAAGAATAAAAACCCAGAAAAAATACAGTGGTTCTGCAAACTTAAGCAAAAAATCTGAAAATATGAGCACTTATTTAAAACTCGCCCTGTATATTATTAACCCAATATTATCTTAGACAGCTAGGATGCATACAGAAAGAGTAACAGTTATAGGCAAAGACGTTTTTGATAAAAACTGTTTCCACGTGATGGCTCAATGCAAATTAAATGTACTATAGCCGTGGTCCAACATAGCTGGACGCTAATATGATGGATGAATTATTTTAAGCAAATACCCCCGTGAATAGGCGAATAATATTCTCAACTCACTAATTCTTTTGTAGATCATCATACCCATTTAGAAAAAAATAACCAATCTTTCAAAGCCACACACATTCTTGTAGTAAATGTTGATATCGAATTTGACAATGACAAAGTCATATTTATCCACGACTCGTCTATAATTTGATTATTATACATGAGTTAATAAAATAATAATAATATTCATTATTCACAGGTGAATAATGGTTTCATTATTCACCGTTTCCACGGATATCTCGATCCAAACTCCAAACAAGAGCTGTGCTCGATCCAAGCCAGCTTGGAATGCGATTGTACGCACAAAATAAAAAACAAAGACTTACTCGTTATACTCGTTCAATATTTTTTTGACATTAAAAATATAAACTTATATTAATATTATCTAATTTTTTTGGATAGTCCTGGATAAAGTATAGTATTCTACTCGCATATAATGGTTGTTATTCACTTGGATGATTTAAATAAACTTCATCCGCGTGAATAACAGCCACCATTATATGCTCGTTGAATAATGTACTATTTTGGTATTTTATTTGTAACTTTTTCTGGCCCGCAATGAAAGCTAGATTCTAGACGAAGGTACAACTTTAAAGCCTCTTCAAAAAAGCCTAGTACAACTTTTGCTGGGAATCATCTGGGGAGATAATATTTGACCTTTTTAAAATTTACATGAGATTTCCTATGTCTCGTGTTCTTGTGCATCACACGGTATATGATTAAAAACTTACTCTTGTCCCTTGTTTTGGCTCCAGGACTGATACAATACTTCGAAGGCCAATCGCACACCATCTTCATGGGGTGGAAGTTCAGTCCCAAAGGACACTGGAGTTCCAGAGGTCCCGATTTGGAACAGGCGTAGAATTTGCTGCAATCGGACGGATTGGGGAACAGACCTTTTTTATATTTGGTTATGCATTCCTTCAGGGTCAACTCTGAAAAACAAATAGCAGAATATTTCTATGTTCACCGATTATTGGGAGACACTGAGTATATTATAGTTATTTATGTATCAGGGAAATTATAAGGACAAATTTTTCTTGCCCAAGGTTATTAACACTTTGTAATTCCCGTGGCACATAGAAAATTTTATTTCTTACTGAATTTAAAGCCTTGGAAAAATTATGCCTTGCGGAAGGTTTTCGATGGGCCACCCTGTATATGACATTAATGATGTAAATAAATTATTAGAGTAGTTAGATAAGTGTCCATTTTCATTTTATATTATTACTGAAAATCTCTATTGTATTTCATTGTTGTTACCTTCAAAAGCCCAAGTAGCATTTTCACGACTTGCGACCACATGTTTACTAAACACAACGTTGGATTAGTTACAAAAAATAGTTAGCTCCCTACCTTGGGTATTAAAATAAATTTAAACGTTTTTATAACGTTGTGCCGACGTTGGACTAGTACTACAGCAAAGTAGAAGCTTTTGCGACGTCGAATAAACGTTGTCTTGTAACCTTTTTTGCTTAAGTGATCTTTAGGTGATTCGGACAACGTAGTTACAACGTTGAACAATATAGAGTTTTCCGACGTCAGTTTCAGGACCTATTCCAACGTTATGCAAACGTCGTCTGTTTATCTAATTCCAACGTTGTTTAGATTTCCTTATTCTTACGTTGGTAGGACGTCGAGTCACTACCTTTTTGCAACTGTATTGAACCATAACCTTAAATCTTAAATTTTCACTTCATTGTTCTGTTCAGTCAGACAGTTCAGTGCTGTTTTTGTTTTTATAAAAAAAAAACTTAATTAAAATGGGACATAAGAAAGGTACATATAAAACTAAATTTAAATATACATCGACATATATTACCGATAGTTTGTCCACTCCTTCGTTTATTTAGATTATACAAGGCGGCACAAGCTAGATTCTAGGATGACTAAATTAGGCAATCTTGCGACTAGTATACTACCTGTTAAGGCCGAACTGCGACTTTATTAGTCGAGTATGCGACTACTCGAACTACTCCATCTTAATCTCCCAAAACAACAAAGTGAAAGCCGCCATGTTGTTAAATAAGAAAATGTTTCGTTCCTAAAATAGCAATTCCTGCTTTTTGAATACATTAACTTGAAATATTTGACCCTAAATATTACTCGGAAACTCGTACGGTATAATTTTTTCGACTGCGAATAAATTATTCTCATTTTACTAAAAAAAAAAATTCAAGAAAATTTTTAAAACTTCTTTAATTTTAAGGCCCATTAGTATTTTTCAAAGTAGAAACAATACATTTATCAATAAAGTTGTTTGCGTTTAACTTTTTTGCCTTGGGTAACGAGTTACAGAGTCGGTTAAAGTGTTTCAATAATTATGATCTTCAAACATCCTCCACACTTAAATACTTTTGTTTTGTCTTCCTTCACTGCCATCTGACATATGTCTCTACCTAAATCATAAAAATAATATTTTTACTATAATTATCCCAATTTAGGATAAAACGCGACTTAGACGCCATATTAGTTTTGTATTTCTGTGAATTAGGATTTTAAACAACGTTGCAGTTTGTACTAAATTAGGCTTCTAGCCAACGTCGGTATCCAACGTCGTTTCGACCCAAAAATTATTCTCCAAACTAGTGCAGACTAGGGTTGGCACGAGGTTGTGCCGACGTTGCGCCCCGACGTTTGGTCGCATGACAGAACGTTGTCCCGACGTCCAAATGCTGCTTGGGAGGTAGAGGGAAGTATGACAGCTTAATTCTCGTTAATAATGTCCCAAGGGAGATATGACTCTGGTGATATGATAGTTAGCGTGACCAAGACGATATAAGCTTGTATTAATTCAGTAAGAAATAAATAGTATTTAAATATGACTAGTTGATACCTGGTGGTGGTGGTGGAGGTGTAGGTTTAGGCCTGTTGCATCCAAAGGAGCTCTGGTCAAATTCCAACCCTTTAGGACATGTCATCAATCGTGGAACGGTCTTGGTACAGATGTAGAACTGCGTTGGATCAGATGGATTGGGGAAGATGCCGAATTTGTACTTCGTGATGCATTGTTTAAAGTTGAGACTTTCTAAAAAGAAACAATAGATAATACCAACTGAATCAACTGTGTAACGTTTTTAGTTCGTTACATGTCTTTTTTACATATAATATATGATGTCTGGCCTATCGTCACCGGATTCCCTCTCGTTCAGGCCTGATCATTTTGTTGGTACGCTTGGCTTAATTTTTACGTTCCCTAGTCGCCAACCCTGCTATCGGTTCACTATTCTGCAGTGTTACCAACTCCGGGATTTTATCCCTAAATTTGGGGAGAAAAAATCTATATGGGGATTTTTTTAGGGAGTAAAATTTTTTGGGGGTATTTTTAGGGATAAAATTTCAATGGAATTTTACCGCTACCAAAGAGGAGATAAGACCGCTACTGCTATTTTTGAAAATTAATAGGAAAGTATCAATAAAACAAAATAATTTATTTATTTTAATCACCGAATCTTGGAGAACAGTTGTGGGGATTTTAGTTGTTTGGATTTAAGAAGGTTTGATATTGCTTTAATCTGCTTTAATGGAAAGTTTCGAACAGTTGGCTACGTTGCTGTGATCAGACGTTTCAGGGTGCAGCCACACTATCCTAAAAACGGCGTATCGGCATAACGGCGTAATGACCTTGAATAGATTTCCAGTAATTCTATTGGCTGAAACATTCATCTGTCAGAAATTTTATCTGTCAAAAATTTCAGCCGATACGCCGTTTTTATGATAGTGTGGCTGCACCCTCAAGGTCAACCACTTAAAACACAACAAATTGTTTATTTATTATTATTTATATTTTAGGGTTTTTTCGGGATATTTTTTTAGGTTTTTAGGGATATTTTGGGGATTTTTGATGCGAGTGTTTAGATTTTTTGGGAGATAAATTTTTGAGAGTTGGAAACACTGCTTTTCTGTGGAGGCGCTCGCTGTCAACATCGCTTCTGTCAACTCTCTGTGATTTAACGGCACTTTTGGTTTGACCCAAGGTTTGACCGTTTGGCCCTTTGAATAAGAAGACTAAGGAAGGAGCATATCAAAAATCTTAGGTACACCGCGATGGGCCTCAAATATGGCCGACTTAAATTCCGGTTTATCAGTGTCGTTCTAATTTTATTTAAAAAATGTAAAACTATGATGTAGGGTAGACGTGGGGTAGACTCAATAATTTGTTGTTTTATTTTACGTTGTGAATAAACTGGTAGTTATTAAAATTGTTATAAAAATATATAATTCTAATAAAAATAGATAAGTTATAATAAGTATTTATTAACACAAACATCGATACGCTACTGAAGCAGGTAAGTCAAATTAACGTATCTAAATTCTTTGACATCTAATCTTTGACAAGTAATAAATAAAAAGCTAAAATGCAAGAAAAATATATAATTTTAGTTAATTTAAGTGAATTTCATAAATGATCAGTTTACTACACGTATGTATATTATATAGTCACTTACTAGCGAAAAGTTGTTCCATTATTTCACTCAATTTTTGCCGAGATCTACCGCACGCTACACAACCAACTATTTTAGAGTCTTTTTCGATAAATCGCGATAGTCTCACTGTTAATTTAAGTTCTGCCACAATTTTCATCTAGATTTACTACCTTTTTACAACTATGAGTAGTAGAATAAATAATAAATAACATAAAATAAGCTCCGTAAAGACTGACAAATCCACAAAATTTCAAATCAAATTCAAATGTGTCAAATGGATCGTCAAACAGAACTGTCAAGGATCCCCACCCTAGAGAGCTTTTATGGTGGCTTTTCCGCCCACCATGCATGAATACATGGATAGCATTATGCTCCTTCCTTAGTCTTCTTATTCAAAGGTTTGGCCTGTCAGACGCCATTAGTCCCAGTTTTTTTAGAAATGGTGATTATTTAAATCTTGCTGTATTATCTGAATCAGCTGCTATTTCATGGCTACAGGTAAATATGAGTTTGGTTTGGTTTGGTAGGGTAGAGTTACGGATGTCCCAACTTGTATTTGTATTTTGCTGGCACGTTGGCGTCCCTTTTCTTTTGTCCTCCAGAATGTCACATGGAAGAAAGGACAGGTTGTTTATTATTTATTGAGCCCTCGGAAGTATTTCGAGGTAGGTTTATTTTGTTTATTAGACCTTGTTCGGTTTTTAAACAAGAGTTTCATATTTTTTAGGGTCCAAGGTACGGGTAGTGTCTTATGTACGGACATTATCTTTATGTACGGATGTCCTGTGGACGAGTGTCCCCAGTAAGAATGATTTTTCTTACATATAAGTTGCCACAGCGTGGATGTAGCTTGAGTCCCATGCTGCTTCGTTCCCCAGCTATAAGCTAGTTAGTTACGGCTGTATCAATTCATGGTGTCCTCATTCTGGCCCCTTTGGTTGTGTTGGATGGCTGAGTACAGAGATGCGAGACCACCTCACGCTGTTACTGTTTAAAGCAAGATTACATAAAGAACAGCTAAGTGTAGATTTAAGTTCTAGTTTTACATTTAACATTTAAAACATTTACAGTCTTAAAACATTACAAGCAATAACGTACATCTTAACTAATATCGTACAGACTATGTTTAGTGGTTAGATTGTTAAGAACATTTATGTCGATTTAATATTTAATATAATAATTAATACTAAATATAATTTAGATCTTAGGTTTCATTGCATTACATCTTGTAATGGTATTACTTTTATAGATATTATTATCGCACTATTTTAACAGATGAATAACCAAACATAGATTCTAGAATCTACAGGTTGCAACATCTTCGATTTAGCATCATATGGAATATATCAAATTAATTAAAGTAATGCTACATTTCATATATTCTCTTAAACTTAACATGTTTTGTATTTTATCGTAGTTGTTTTCATTGATATTTAGTACGACTCTTACCACCACTTTCTTTGACATATAACCACTATATATTTATTAGAACTCTACAATGTCATGTATCATCTAAGAACATCATGAATAAATATAGTCATTAGTTTTAAGTAATATACAACTGTGTTTTCTTTCTCTGTACATGCCTGGCGCCCAATATTTATAATTTCGAGTTATTATTGTTAATTAGTTTCTTTCCAGTGAAATACCTTATCCACGACTGCTCTACCAACGAAAAGCTACGATAATGTTTTAAAAAAACGCTACAACTGAGTAATAATAAAATCAATCACTATATTCTAAAATACCTTGGCAGATCAGCAAATGATTATAAACTCTCTCAGTTTATAATCATCTGCTGATGATGCTAGCATGGTTAGCGAAACGCGCGTCCAGTGTAAAAGTAAATGTGTTTTGGTGTATTGTGGTGATTTAGTGTTTTATTTTGCTGTGTAACACCAAAGGTTCCAATCCTCAACTGTAATGATTTGATTTTCTTTTCAAGAAGGGGGGCATATGTGATAACTAATAATGAAAGTACGAGGCATGTTTTTTAAGTAAGTACCGTTTTGCGATTCCGCCGCCGCAGCGCTACGGTCGGCGTTCCGCGCATGCGCGCTGGTGGATCTCTTGTCTATGCACAGACGCCAGTACAGTCTGATTCTTCATTGTATACGTTGTTTATTGAGTGTTTAAGATGCCTCCGACAATCGTAAGCCCCGCCGATTGTGAAGTACGGGCTGTCATACGATTTCTTAGTGCTAAAGGCGTAAAACCGATCGATATTCATCGTGAGATCTGTGAAGTTTACGGACAAACCATTATGCGTGATGGAATGGTAAGGAAATGGGTGAAGCATTTAAAGATGGCCGCACAAATGTGCATGATGAAGAACAGGAGGGCGTCCTTCGGTCGTTAATGAAGATTTGGTGCGAAAGTGGACGAAAAGGTGAAAGAAACCAGACGCTTTACAATTTCATCATTGTGCGACTACTTTCCTCAATGTTCTCGTAGTGTTTTGTATCGCATTGTGACCGTGAACTTGAATTACCGGGAAATTAGTGTTCACGTTGGGTTCCGAAAATGTTGACGGATTTGCACAAAACCCAACGTTTAGGCAGTGCATTGACTTTCCTTGAGCAGTACCACAATGAAGGTGAAGATTTTTTAGACAAAATTGTTACTGGTGACGAAACATGGGTGGCCTACGTCACACCAGAATCGAAACAACGCAGTCCATGGAATGGCGACATTCATCATCACCCAAAACAGTGAAGTTTAAGCAAACAATTTCTGCCCGGAAAATCATGTGCAGTTTTTTGGGACAGAAAAGGAGTATTGCTAGTGGAGTTTCTGCCTCGTAATGAAGGACAAATCGGCTGCAGCATCTTATTGTGAGACATTGAACGAATCTGCGCCGTGCAATCCAAAACAAAACCAGACAGGTGGCAAGTTGAGGTAAGGGTATTGCTTTGCTGCATGATAATGCTACCGTCCACATGTGGCTAATCGGACCAAAGATCTCATCAAATCTTTTAAAATGGGAAACTCTAGATCATCCTCCATACAGCCCTGATCTGGCGCTCAGTGACTAACATTTCTATTCCTGCACTTGAAGAAACACCTGGGCGGTCATCAAGGCTTCAAGACGATAACGAAGTCAAAACAGTTGTGATACAGTGGTTAACCAGTCAGGCGGCAGAATTTTATGAGGAGGGTATTGAAAAACTGGTGCCACGTTATGACAAGTGCCTCAATATTCACGGAAATTATGTAGAAAAGTAGATTAAGGTACAGGCTTTCATGTAAAAATAAAATTATTGCGATATCTTTGCACGTTTTTTTTTTAATTCCAAAACGGTACTTACTTAAAAAACATGCCTCGTATTTTCTATATTACCTGGTCCAGGTTGTGTAACTGGTTCCTTATCAGTGTCTGGAGGTGCACTGGTTTCTTCCTTAAATCTGCTTTCCAATGTTGCCGGAGACTCTTGTTTAGGACTAGGAGCCTCAGTTTCAAGTCCCGGTTCCGTCGGTTCTTCCGGTGATGGTTGCTTGGGTTCCTCGGGCGCTTTGGTGACCAATCCCGGTTCGGTTGGTTCCGATGGTACTTCGGCACATTGCGGGTCTTTACTAGGATCGCAGGGCGGTTTTTCAGTTGCTGGGGGTTGAACGCATTCGCTTTGATCAGGCGATGTTGGTGTGCAGACTGGTTCTAAGAAATAATTTTATTATACAGGGTGCTACAAATTCGAGGTACGAGCATTGGTATCCCGGAAACCGTAATAGATACGAAAATGGTTAAATTGCGGCAAAGTTGCTCCTTGGGATGTTCACGAAGATGCCATAAAAAAAGGTTTTAAAAATATCAGGGATTGAAAACGGATTTTTTTTCAAAATCAATTTTATTTTTTTCTGTCGTTACTTTTAAAAAAATCAAAAAACTAATTGCACATTTTCATAACCACTTTATTAGAGCTATCTGGCAGTATTTTTAGATTTTGAAATTAGCTGATAATTTGTGAGATACAGAGGCCAACTTAATTTTTTTAAATACGGACCTGCATTTTTTATTTCAGATTTTGAAAGAACTCCGTCTCCTACAATGTGAAATGACATGCCACAATTTATTTTTTTTTTGGTTTGGGTACCTTAACAACAACAAAACTATTTAATTATTATTTAAAATAATTTTAAGTCCGACTCTGGTTTTTAAATGATTTAATCTGATTATATTAATTGCAACAATATTGATCAGCTAAATGAATAAGGATAATCGAGCCAATTAAAAGATTGAAATAAATAATATACAGGTCAACAATTTAAAGATATTATTTTTAATTTTTTTAGCCGACCATACCAATAGGTATGGTAGGCTATTAGGATTGGCAAAAAAAAGTTTTTCTAATTTCACTCAAAATGAATTATTTGGGTCATAAATGACCTAAATACAAAATATTTTCGTGGTGTCTGTCTGTCTGTCTGTCCGTCCGTCTGTAACACTATGGCCCGGTTGTACAAACGGAGTTAATCCTGAGTTCACGATGATCTTAGGATCAACGGGTAAAAGACGTTGTACGTTATGGGTTCAGGTGCTGAACGTCCGAATTTGGGCGTTCGAGGCCAGTTCAAGTCGTTTTAAATGATTATTATTGGGTTTGCTGGTAAGCAAAATGTAAATAAATAAATAAATAAATTAATTTATTGCAATCAAACATAATGGATCATCTGTGGGAAGATATTACGGACGACGAAGATTTTTTGGAATTGGTTCATCATGTTGTACATCCTCGAGCCCCACAAGTCTACAGAGATCGACCAGATCATTTCAACATTTGGAATGATACAGAATTTAAAGCAAGATTTAGGTTGGAGAAACAAGTTGTTAGATTTATAATGGATGAATTATCTGAACAAATCTCATCTGTTACAGACAGGTACAGTTTGTTACTAACCTGCCAAGTTTTAAGATGGACATAATTTATTTGTTACTCCTTTAGAAACCAAGCAGTAACCCCTACAGAAATGGTATGCACTGCTTTGCGTTTTTTAGCCACTGGGAGTTTTTTACAAGTTGTTGGAGATTTCGGGGGCATCCATAAATCAACAGCCAGCCGAAAAATATATATGGTTCTAGAAGCAATTGCTCAGTTGGCACAACACTTTGTAAGAATGCCAAGAACTGAAGCTGAAGTAACTAATGTTAGAAAAGGATTCTTTAATATTGCTAAATTACCAAGATGTGTTGGCGCTTTGGACTGCACTCACGTAAAAATTCAGTCGCCTGGGGGGATAGATGCTGAAAGTTACAGAAACAGAAAAGGATTTTTTTCATATAATGTTCAGGCTATTTGCAGCTCTGATCTCAAATTTCAGGACATAGTGTGTCGCTGGCCAGGCTCTGCCCATGATTCCAACATATTTAGGAATAGCAGAGTCAGAAATGACTTTGAAAATGGAGTGTATGGTGACAACTTACTTGTAGCTGATAGTGGTTATACAATAAAACCATACGTTATAACACCTCTATTAAATCCTCATACACGAGCAGAACATCTATTTAATGAGGCACAAATACGAACAAGGAATCCTATTGAGAGATCGTTTGGAGTTTTAAAAAGGCGATTCCCGATACTTTCTTTAGGAATACGCTTGAAGCAGGAAAAGGTAGAGGCTGTTGTTATCTCTACAGTGGTCCTTCACAATATAGCATTATCAATGGGAGATGTGGAGCCTCCAGAAATCAATGAAGAAATTGCAGCTGCAATAGAACTGACAAATAATGTCAATAATGACATGGTTGGACATGTACAAAGAGGAATCAACTGGGAATCAACAATAGTGTTCGTTACACATTAATAAATACCTACTTTCAAAATTTGTTGTAGATATTTTCTAAAAAATGCTATATAGGAATGTACAAATATAAAATTTATCCTGTGGTAGATTACCAAAAATAAACATCATTGAAAATACAAATCTTGATTGAGAACAAAATAAGCTTAATTAATTAATTAAATCTTGCTCCTAAACAGAAAATCTGAAAAAAAATATTTTTTAATTGTTTTTATATTTACTCAGTTTGAAGGTTATGCTGTTGGTTTTTTCTTTGTAAACTCTAGTTCATGAAAACGGGAACTGGAACAACACTTGAGACTCTGAACTACGTTCAACGGTGAACTATAGATCACTGCAGTTCAAGAAAACTTCTGTTGAACCAGTCGTTGTACAACCGGCCCTATAACTCAAAAACCGCTGAACCGATTTTAACCAAATTTGGCACAAAAATACTGTGGCACCCGAGAATCTGGCCATTAGTTTTTGGTGGGGATGGGGGGTTGGTAGGGGGTATAGGAGGGGGTTAAAAATTTAAAAAAATCGTAACTCCAAAATATGGAGTGTAGAGGTAAGGAGAAACAACTCTTACGGGACTTTTATTGAAAAAGTGGTAACAAAATGGGAAGAATAAGGGTTCGCCCAATGACCACAGTGGCGCTAAAAACGCATGAATCTAAAAAATGAAAAGTAACCATAGATAACCAAACATTACCCAAAAAAAGTTTTGTTTTGATTTTTTAGACAGAGTTTTTGAATATAAAATAATTATTGTTTATCAATATTTTGTGATTTATTTATTATTTAACAATGGTTAAAGTGTGTGTGGTGCGAAGTTGATTGAATAGCTGATGGAAAAATAAAGAGCAAAGGCAAAACATTATCTAACCCAAGTAGCATTTTCACGACTTGCGACCACATGTTTACTAAACACAACGTTGGATTAGTTACAAAAAATAGTTAGCTCCCTACCTTAGGTATTAAAATAAATTTAAACGTTTTTATAACGTTGTGCCGACGTTGGACTTGTACTACAGCAAAGTAGAAGCTTTTGCGACGTCGAATAAACGTTGTCTTCTAACCTTTTTTGCTTAAGTGATCTTTAGGTGATTCGGGCAACGTAGCTACAACGTTGGAAAATATAGAGTTTTCCGACGTCAGTTTCAGGACCTATTCCAACGTTATGCAAACGTCGTCTGTTTTACTAATTCCAACGTTGTTTAGATTTCCTTATTCTTACGTTGGTAGGACGTTGGGTCACTACCTTTTTGCAACTGTATTGAACCATAACCTAAATTTTCACTTCATTGTTCTGTTCAGTCAGACAGTTCAGTGCTGTTTTTGTTTTTATAAAAAAAACTTAATTAAAATGGGACATAAGAAAGGTACGTATAAAACAAAATTTAAATATACATCGACATATATTACCGATAGTTTATCCACTCCCTCGTTTATTTAGATTATAGAGGGCGGCACAAGCTAGACTCTAGGATGACTAAATTAGGCAATCTTGCGACTAGTATACTACTTGTTAAGGCCGAACTGCGACTTTATTAGTCCAGTATGCGACTACTCGAACTACTCCATCTTAATCTCCAAAACAACAAAGTGCAAGCCGCCATGTTGTTAAATAAGAAAATGTTTCGTTTCTAAAATAGCAATTCCTGCTTTTTGAATACATTAACTTGAAATATTTGACCCTAAAAAACACGCAGAAACAATTTTTTCGACTGCGAATGAATTATTCTCATTTTACTAAAAAAAAATTCAAAAATTTTTTTAAAACTTCTTTAATTTTAAGGCCCATTAGTATTTTTCAAAGTAGAAACAATACATTTATCAATAAAGTTGTTTGCGTTTAACTTTTTTGCCTTGGGTAACGAGTTACAGAGTCGGCTAAAGTGTTTCAATAATTATGATCTTCAAACATCTTCCACACTTAAATACTTTTGTTTTGTTTTCCTTCACTGCCATCTGACATATATCTCTAACTAAACCATAAAAATAATATTTTTACTATAATTATTCCAATTTAGGATAAAACACGACTTAGACGCCATATTAGTTTTGTATTTCTGTGAATTAGGATTTTAAACAACGTTGCAGTTTGTACTAAATTAGGCTTCTAGCCAACGTCGGTATCCAACGTCGTTTCGACCCAAAAATTATTCTCCAAACTAGTGCAGACTAGGGTTGGCACGAGGTTGTGCCGACGTTGCGCCCCGACGTTTGGTCGCGTGACACAACGTTGTCCCGACGTCCAAATGCTGCTTGGGAATATAGTATGTATAAACTCTTTGCATCTTTTATTCAATGTTGTAATGAATTAACAAATTGCAGGTAATTTATTCTTATAACGAAAAAAAAAACTATGCATCAAAGAATATTTTCTTCTGATGAGGTTTATGAATATTAAAATCTGTTGAAGTTTGGCCATTATGTGTTGGTATACAATTTATTTATGATGTTACAGTAGTTAAACCATCCGAGTACAAAATATGTTTAAAATCCACTATTCTTAATGAATGACAACTACCAACTTGAGAGGAAGCTAAGAGAAAGGTTCTATTGTGTGGACTACAAGGAAAAGGGACATATACATGAGGATCTGGAAGGGCTATAACATTACGTCTCAAGCCATGGGACAATAGGAAACGAAATTCAAAGGAAAATATTACAATACGTGGGATGCAAATTATACTGCAAAGAATTGAGAAAAAGAATTATTAAAAGTAGTTATTGTTACGATAGTTAAACTATCCGACTACCAAATATATTTAAAATCCACTATTCAGAATGAATAGCAACTACCAACTTGGGAGGAAGCTGCGAGAACGATTCTATTGGGTGAACTACAAGGAAGACATGAGCATCTGGAAGGGCTATAAAATTATATTATTTCACGTTTCAAGCCATGTTGGAATAGCTGGGAGTGAAAAAGAAGATAATACTGCACACCATTCTTGTCTAGAAGTAGTTGATATTAAGGTAGTTAAACCATCCTACTATCGAACATTTAAAATCCACTATTCTGAATGAATGGCAACTACGATGGGGCAAAACGTAAATAAATACTTGTACAGTATAAAATTATATTATATTGGCTTAATTTTTATACTAAATAAAGTGTGTTACGTTATTTTAGACCTGCATTATATTTATTTAAATCCCATATCATCAATTAAACTTTTAATAAAGTTTTCCTAATTATAATTAACATTAATTTTAAACTAAAGCTTTTTCATCTTGAATGAAATTTACGAAATAACTTATGAGAAACAATAAAAAAGAGGCTCAGTCTATTGCTTCTGAATAATCGATAATAAAACCACATATTGACTTACTTTTATACTAAATAAATGTAGGTATGGAGTTATTTTAAAGCTGCATTATATTTATTTTAAACCCATCACCGATTATTACTTTAAATAACATTTTTTTTAATTATAATTACCATTAATTTTAAGCTAAAACGATCAGAATATTTTTTCGTCGTCTTGAATGACATTTGCGAAATAACTTATGAGAAACAATAAAAAAAGCCTAGTCTATTGCTGCTGAATAAAAATCTGTAATTTATTTCATGCAACATGAAAATAAAATTGTATTTTTTTGAAACCCGCGGCTTCGCGTTTGCTTCACGTCAAATATTTATGTCTTGAATCATCTGTTCTAAAATGTTCGGCGCATGTCTTAAATTTTAGGATCTTGCTACAGCAGCGCCATCCTAATTCTTCCCGTTTTTTGACATTTTTTAATGCACGGAGTTATTTCTCCTTACCTCTACACTCCATACTCCAAAATTACAGTAGCTAAGATTAGGAATAATATTTGCAACAAAATTTGTAATAACATCAAAATCAGTCAAAGTCGCAGTTTTCGAGATATTAACATATTTTAGTATGGACGGCCATACGTGCCTCCCGGCGCCATTTTTTTATTTTTTAATTTGAAATCTCAGTGTACGATCTAATAATATGCATAACATTAATCGTAGTTATTATAAATAAATCGACTTCTACAAACTAGTTTCTAATGCTCTACATGTTCGAAAGGGTTACCACCTTCCCTATTACACAGCAACCCTTGAAATTTTAAAACTCTTTTGATTGCATGTTGATGAACATCCTAAATCGCAATTTTACCCCAATTTAATCATGGTCTGCAACCTCGAATTTGTAGCATCCTATATAGAAAAATCAATAAAATTTTACGTAATTTTAATTAATCAAAATATTTGACGACATAGATAAAAAAATAAACTTAGATTGGAATTATCGGCTTCTCCGAAGGAAAACACAAAATAAAATTGAAAACAACAAATGTTAGATTAGAAAAAATTAATAAAAATGCAAATATCAAATTTACAAAAAATCTCATAAAAATCGCCAACATTTGTCACTACTACTCCACTACTAAATTCCTCACATAAAAATAATATTTTTCATATCAACAAAGGTCCGATTCTGCTTTGTTTCATATTACAGGGTGTTAAAGTCATAATATTTTTTCGATTTATTATGAATTTCTTTCAAGTACTTCTAGCATTTCGAATAAAATTTTGAGGGTAAAAGTTACCATAAACGTGACATATTTTAAAGCTAAAATCCAGGGACGTGCATATGGGTTACCACTTGAATAATTTTCTAAAAAAAACATGTACGCCACTGACTTTTTTCTCTATTTAGCGAAATAGAATAAGAAATGTAATGCCAATTAAAAGTTGTCTCTTGATATTTTGTCGATTTCGACCTCCTTGATGAGATAAACGCAATTTTATTAATTTGCCTTGGTCCAAGTCTAATAGCAAAAAAGTACCTATAAACATGGATATGGAAATGCATAGTTTTAGAGAGTTATAAGATGTTAAAACTTTTTAAATATAGGTTTTTTGTAATTATCTTAAATACCATAATTTTTTATTTCAAATTATTGTAGGATGTACTAATAGTAATAATAACTAACAGTAATAATATTTAATAATAAATTAGGTAAAATATATAATTTATTAATTTTACTTTAATTTTATTAATTGCGATTAATAAATTTGCATTTATCTCATACTAAAGTACTTGGAAGAAAATTATAATAAATCGAAAGATTGATTATTAAGAGTTTAACACCCTGTTTAACACCACGAAACATTGCAGAATCGGACCTATGTTAATATGAAAAATAAATCTTATTTTTACGTGAGGAATCTCCCCACGAGAGATGGCACATGTTTTTTGAAACACCTTGTATAATTCTATACGATGAGGACTTTTTCTGTGACACTGTATGTTAATTAATAGAAAAATTCTCTTAATAAAAATTAACAATTATTTTAAAAATATTATTAACAAAAAGCCTATCTTTTGTGTGACCTGTATATTACCTGTTTTTTCAAGATCACTAGGTGTACTGAGTTCAGAAGGTTTGGGTGTAGATTCACCAGGACTTGCTGGTTGGGAGCTTTCGCTAGGAGTCGCTTCTGTAGGCTTAGAAGATTCACTAGGCGTGCTTTCTTTAGGCGTCGATTCTTCAGGCGATGTAGGTTTAGAACTCTCGCTTGGAGTACTTGCTTCTGAAGGTTTAGGCGAAGATTCTTGTGAAGGCTCTGTTGGCTCAGAAGATTCACTAGGTGTGCTTCCTTTAGGCGTTGATTCTTCAGGCGATGTAGGTTTGGAACTATCGCTAGGCGTACTCGCTTCTGAAGGTTTAGGCGAAGATTCTTGTGAAGGCTCTGTTGGCTCAGAAGATTCACTAGGTGTGCTTTCTTTAGGTGTTGATTCGTCAGGCGATGTAGGTTTGGAACTATCGCTAGGCGTACTCGCTTCTGAAGGTTTAGGCGAAGATTCTTGTGAAGGCTCTGTTGGCTCAGAAGATTCACTAGGCGTGCTTTCTTTAGGCGTTGATTCTTCAGGCGATGTAGGTTTGGATCTATCGCTAGGCGTACTCGCTTCTGAAGGTTTAGGCGAAGATTCTTGTGAAGGCTCAGTTGGCTCAGAAGATTCACTAGGTGTGCTTTCTTTAGGTGTCAATGCTTCAGGTGAAGTTGCTTCTGTAGGTTGAGGTGAAGATTCTGGAGATTCCGTCGGTTTAGAAGTTTCACTTGGTGTACTTTCTTTAGGCGAAGATTGCTCTGGTTGTGTCGGTTCAGAAGACTCACTAGGAGTGGTAGATTTATCAGTTGGTTTTGATTCTTCTGGTGTACTTGCTCCCGGAGATGTTTCCTCTGATGGTTTGGTTGGTTCAGACGAATCTTTCGGTGTACTTTGATCAGTTGATTCTGGTGTTGAAGGCTTGGATGTGTCACTAGGAGTGCTCTCGTCGGTTGGCTTAGGCGATGACTCCTGTGGCTCTGTTGGTTTAGAAGTTTCGTTAGGAGTACTTTCTACCGGTGACTCTGAAGTAGGTTCTCCTGGTGTAGTACTAGCTTTAGAGCTCTCAGGAGACGTACTTTGTGGTTCTTGTGATTCTAAAGGTTCACTAGGCGTGCTTTGATCAGATGATGGAGGTGTAGATGCTGATGAATCGGTGGGTTTAGATGTGTCCGACTGTGTACTCGAGTCAGATGGTTTAGTGATGTCACTAGGTGTGCTCGGTTCTGATGATTCAGGTGTCGGTTTTGTACTGTCACTAAGCACACTCGACTCAGATGGATTAGGAGTAGTTTTTTGTGGTTCTGTGGGGTTGGAGGATTGATCTAATGGCGTACTTTGAGGTGCTTCGGAAGGATTTAGTGAGGGAGACTCACTTGTTTTATCCGGTGTATCAGATGCATCCTCGGGTGGACTTGAAGTGTTCTTTGGTTCGCTGGGTTCGGATGGTGGTGCATCGGTGGAATCTTTTGGAGTAGGTGGTTTTGGACTTTCTGTACCTAATTTTTGTTTAAAATACATTATTTCTGTTTATTTTACTTGTATTTATTGTGTACGAAAAAGTTTGTAATAAACGGAAAAATATTACTGAATTATAGAAAATGGTTATGCGGTGATCTATATTATGCGGTGATATACCGGGTGCGTCTCAAAAGTGACTCACCTCTGTAACTTTTTTATTTTTTCAGATAAAAAACGAGATTTGGTATGTTAGTATATGACATAAATTAGGATTGATCGATTCAAGTGTTTTTGGACACTTTCTGTTTCATCGGACTTCACTACAACTTTTGATTTTTAAATGTTCCCTCGGTATTTTTTTACTTTATTTGATAGTAAATGACACTCTGAATAGAATGACATATAATATATTTACTTTTGACATTTTCGCTTTTTTTTGTTTTTTAAACAATAATTAGCATAACACAAGCAGCATCCACCATAGGCATAGGCAAAACTTTTTTGAAAAATATAAATAAATACTGATTATTCATAACTAAATAAGTCTCGTAATTCGGAACCATTCTGGTTCCATTTAACTAATTTTGTGGTTAGCTAAAAAATTGAATAATCCATTTTATTATGAAAGGTAGATATGTAAAAAATTAAATTAAAAAAAGCGAATAATAATTTCCAAATGAATCAATTAAAATTGCAGTTTTTATTTAATTCTGCATTATTTGCATATTATTAACCCTTAGGCACGGCACTGTTTGGTGTCAACTGGTAACAATTTGGTGTTATTGGTCCTTGCATTCTTTAGTTATTGACTAGTACCAACTAAAAAATCATGTTCACTTACTTTCTGGTAGTTCTGGAGTTTGATCTGGATTGGGCGTGGTCACTTTCATACAACCGGCATCCGCTGGCCAATCACATACCGAAGATGTTGGATTAAAATGAAGTCCAGCTGGGCAATCGATGGGGTCAGTGGTGGCACATGACAGAAATTTAGTACAATCCGATGGATGAGGGTATATGCCTCGTTCGTATTTATCGAAACATTCTTCTAATGTCAATTCTAAAATATTTTCGATTAATCCAGTTGATCTTACAGGGTGTCGTAATATTCCGTGGACATAAAACTAATAGGTATATACTGAGTTTTGAAATCACAATAAGTTAAATAATGTCTATACCTTTGTGGCGGTTTCATTTCTTGAAAAGAATTCTGTTTTTTGGCCGCTAAAATAAAAAAAATTAAAAATCACTGCGCTGAATTCCAACGGGAACCAATTTGTCAGTGGTATTTTACTAGTAAAACTTTTAGTCTAAGAGTAAAACCAATTTATCTAACCGACAAAATATATGCTTAACGTTTCAGGAGGTATATCTCCTCACACAATTCTTCGGACGCACAAAAAGCACAAAGAAAAAAAAACGCGATTTGAAATGGCTAAATACTACTATTCAAAACCATTATAGTTTTTAGCACTTCGTTGATTCATTATAAACCGTTGACATTTTGTTAAAATGACATTAAGTGAAGCCAAACTTCAAATTAACATTTACTAACTAATTACTATTATTATTATTATTATTAATAATATTTTTTTTTGCTCAGCTTAAAGCCGGTTTTAGCGACTAAGTCGGGATAATTCTTATCAACGACCTAATCCGTAACCACCCTAATAACAAGGCCGTACAGCTTATTCGTGACGTCATCATCTGGAGGCCTAAACTTTGATTGCATTTGATACACTTTATACGTATATAATGGATATAAACTTTAATTGCACCGAATTTTTAATAAATAATAATTAAACATAAAATTTGAAAAACATCAAATTGATATCCCATCTCACATTATCCATCGACATTGTATTTACTTATGCTGTAAGTGTGTCTAAGTTTCTTTTATTTCCTTTTCCAAGTCTATCATTATTTTTTAACAACAGTAGTTTTTCAGACGTGTATTTTTAATAGAATTTATGACAATTTTTACAATAACATAGCATTATAAATAGTACATTGCGGAAATTTTAATAATGGTGTTATTACTTTTAATGTAATCCAAAGATATTTGTGATAAAAATATTTTTTATTGTGAATTTTGAGAAACTCCTCATAGCTTTGCAATACTTTGTTAAGAATTATATATTCAAATAAAACTATATTAGTTATTTCATTTTTTAGAAACCCAAGACTGCCTTTAGTAAGGTTTTTTATAAGTGAATTTTGTTCAATATCAGTGTTGTCTGAAAATGTTAAATTATTTTTAGGGACATTAAAGACTGAATCTTAAGTTTCTTTTCGTCTTCATATAAATGTCGAACACAAATACTGTACTGACTCCCAGCTATCTGTCTATATTTTCCAAAACTACTTTCAAGAGGATCAGTTTGCAAGTTCTCTAGTAAAATATACCTCATATTTTACTCATTAAAACAATATTTTATTACTTCAAGCTCAACCTGTTACTCAACTCAAGTTAATAACTTTAATATTGAACACAGATAAAAGTTAGAATTTTTTTATTATTTTCATCGCATTTTACAGAATTTATTAAATAACAAGCATGACTAATAATTTGATCAGTATTACTATCAGGGTTCGGAAAACTACATGTTACTCTTAAAAACGACATAAACTACATTACATGTAGTTAATCGATGTAGAGGGTGTAGTTTATGTAGCTTTCAAATATGAAAGGTTTGAGGTGAGGTAAAAGATAAGTAAAAGCTTTAGAAAATACATATAAATATATTTGAGAAAACAGAAGAAATATAGCTTTAAAAATAATATTCACATCTTATTATTTAGACATTATAAGGCATTATACCTTTTAAATCGTATAATTGCACACACTTATAATCACTTTATAGTTTAAACACCTCTTTTTACAGATTTATAACTTTTTTCACCCTTCTATTATCGATGCGGCAATACCACTCCGCTAAGCGCTACGACAGGCGCCGCCGCGCCGGCGCCGTCGCCACGGAGCAGGGGGCCTGAAATATCGATAAAATACATAACATATACTATAAAATATATCTATTTTTTTATTGTTTTTTTTTTCATATTATACACTATTGTGAACTTAAAACATTCCTTTATTAAATTTGATTGATAAAAAGTGAGAGATAAACATTTATTGACTGGTATGATTTTTTCCGTATGCTATTAAAACTATTTTTATATACTATAATATTTTTAAAAACTCGGAAAAGACATTTTAAAACTTTGAAATATATCTGGCGAGTGAAAAAAGATCCACAATTTGAACTTTTATCGGGTAATTATCAACGCTGCTAAATAGAGTTGAGCCTCCAGTTGGTGACGTCACGAGATTTTTACGGCACAACTGTCTGGCCTTGTTACTACGGTGGTTACGCCTAATCGCGGTTCAACACAGTGCGAACGATAGAACAGGTAGAAATAATTGTGGACTTCTGCATGGTAGAGATGATTCTTTGCGGGTTGTGAAGTTGGAGTTTTTTAAGGCTTTGAACAAGGTTTACGTCTACTAGGCCTAATAATAATTATTAGTATTATTTACTTTTTTTTAACTTTGTATCGTGCTGTTGTCGAAAAAAAGGCAAAAGTGTAAAATCTACTGACACACACTACTCATTCGATTTAGACACTTGCCAAGTCGGTAGGCCATTGACCATGATATGGCCGAGGACCGCGGTTCAGATTCCGCGTAAACAAAGTAGGCCCCGTCCAGATTACCCCTGGCAGCAACAAGGAGACGTTAACTGAAATCTTTACTTTTTTTAACATTTACTACCTGATAACAATTACTATGAGGTAAAACTATGGTAACCCCAAAAACCTTTAACCTCTGTATACAGGGTGGTCCGAATTATATTTGGAAAACTTCGGCAACATATTCTGCAGATAAAAATCTGCAAGAAAGTTCGTATAAATTTATGTCCTAAAATACTTACAGAGTGTAGAAATTTAATTTTTAATTTAAAAATTAAATTAATTTTTAGTTACCATAAGTCTGGTACTGCGCATCACATCTGTATATGGTATCCTATTTTCGTGTGTTTTATGGGATTTTTCGTTTATGAATAGAGATACTGTAACGTTTTTAGTTTGTTACATGTCTTTTTTATATATGATATATGATGTCTGGCGTATCGTCACCCGATTCCGTATCGTTCAGGCCGGATACTTTATTTGACGCGCTTGGCGTAATTTTTACGTTCTCTAGTCCACAACCCTGTTATCGTTTGACACAACCCTGTTATCGCTCTGTGGAGGCTCTGTCAACATCGCTTCTGTCAACTCTCTGTGCTGTAGACTCACTTTTGCTTTTAGCGCTCTGTAGCCTAACCTAACCATCCCGGCTTTTAGAAATGGTGATTATTTAAATCTTGCTGTATAATCTGAATCAGCTGCTATTTCAAAGCAACAGGTAAAGATGAAATATTATCCTTTTAGATTTGATATTATTACTGCATATTTTTAGGGTAGAGTTTTGGATGTACCAACTTAACTTGTATTTGTATTTTGGTGGCACGTTGGCGTCCCTTTTCTTTTGTCCTCCAGAATGTTACATGGAAGAAAGGACAGTTTCTTTGATTATTATTGAGCCCTCGATAGTATTTCGAAGTAGGTTTATTTTGTTTATTAGATCTTGTTTGGTTCTAAACAAGAGTTTCGTATTTTTAGGGTTAACAAGGTATTTTTAGGGTTAACAAGGTACGGACTATTTACAAGGTACGGGCATTATCCAAGGTCCTAGTAGTATCCAAGGTACGGGTAGTGTTCCCCTGTACCGTTGTCTTATGGACGGACTGTGTCCAAGGTTATGGTCCAAGCTACGGACATTATCCAAGGTCCTAGTAGTGTTCCAAGGTACGGGTAGTGTCCCCATGTTGCCACAGTATGGATACAGCGTAAGCCCCATGCTGCTTCGCTCCCATTTCTAAGCCTAGTCAGTAGCTACGGCTGTATTGATTCACGGTGTCCTCATTCTGGCCCCTTTTGTTGTTTTGGCCAACAGGATCGCCGACAGACAGTACAGAGATATGAGCCTACCTCACGCTGCTACTCTTCGAAACAGGATTGCCTCAAGAACAGCTAAGTGTAGATTTAGGTTCTGATTTTCAGTCTTAACGTACATTTTAAATAATATCGTACAGACTATATTTAGTGGTTAGATTATTAAGAACATTTATGTCGATTTAGTATTTAAAATATGATTTAGATCTTAGGTTTCATTACATTATGTCTTGTAATGGTATTACTTTTATAGATATTTAGTACAACTCTTAACACCACTTTCTTTGACATATAACCACTATATATTCACTAGAACTCTACAATGTCATGTATCAGCAAAGAACATCATGAATAAATATAGTCATTAGTTTTAAGTAATATACAACTGTGTTTTCTTTCTCTGTACATGCCTGGCGCTCAAATCTGTATTTTTTTGTTTATTGTTATTGATTGGTTTTCTCTCTTGTGAAATACCTTATCCACGACTGCTCTCCGATGAAAAGCTGCCGTTCGCAGTGGTAATGTTTTATAAAAAACGCTACAATACAATGATGCGATTTTCACGTTACTTTGCTACGTTTTTACGAAACTAAATATGCTACACATATGTTTGTCCTAGCCTCCTTAGTTCCTGAAATACAGGGCGAATTTGTGATGCACAGTAGTGAACAGATGTTAAGTACAGATATAATGCGCAGTAGTGAACGCAACGCCTACCGGTAGCCAGACGTCCGCCCTCTGTTCAGGAGAGCATAAAAAAGATATATTAAATAACTTAGCTTTCTTAGGACAAGTTTTCTTAAAATTCCCTGCCGAAAACGTTGCTAGCTCTTAGAGTATTAGTAAAACAGCAAATTTGTTATAGAAATAAAAATATAAGACACCCATCACAGTCAAATCGTACATAAAAATGCAATAAATTTAAAAACTGCGTAATTTTCTAACCAATTGAAGTCTTTAAATTCAACCAATAAAATTAATATCGTATCGTCGGATATCGGATGCATGAAAATCAAGCTTAATGGTGAAAAATCTAGAATTCTTTTCAACCCGCCACAAAAGTATACAGGGTTTTTCACCACATACGACACGGAGTATTGTAGCTAAACGATGAGATTTTTACAAATTGTAAGTTTTGGGTTCGATGAAGGACTATTAGAGGTAGAATTTAAAAATAATTTTACAAGATACAGAATGTCCCAAATAAGTAAAAAATATCAAAGTTGTATTTTTTTAAATGGAACACCCTGTATATTATTACATTTTTAGTTTCTACGATTAAAATAAAGGTAAATTTGATTAAGGTTTATTATACTTAAACCTTACCGTTTTTGAAATATTTTCAATTTTGTGAAATTGCAGTAAAAATTTTAAGGCTTCATTTCTCCAAGGGTATCAAAGTTTTTAATACTAAATATTTACTGGAGTTTATTTACTGATCAGTTATTGTGTTGCAATAATAAAAATAATACTACCTTATACAGAGTGTCTAAAAATTTATTTTAAATAATTATTAGCTTCAAACAGCAATAACTTGTTTAATTTAAATGGAACGCCCTGTATATTTTACGAGAATCAGATGCACAATTTAATTGTCTATCAAATTATATTATACCATTTTTTACCTATCTCTTTAAGTTTCCGTAGAAAATTTATTTTCTTGTAATTTAGAACTTATTTATCAATATATCCATGGACTATTGACATTTTAGATTATTTTTAAAGATGTATCAAATTTTTAAAGAGTACAGATACTAATATTGTCGATATAATTCGTTTATTTCATTAAAAAATAAAAAAAAACTGTTCAAATATTTGTTAAAGAGGACCAATTAATATGATCCAGTATTCAAACTACATTAACTGACTGTTTGCATTGATTAATAATAATTGCTCCAAATACAAAAAACTGAATTTTGTATGGGCATTAGACAGTGTGATAAAAAGTAACACCTTAAAAATGAAATTTCATTTTTCATAAATACTTATTTATAACAACAGAGACTTTAATTTGATAACTTATTATTATATTGATTTCTGACTCAAATCCACATTTATTTATAATAATTTATTAACGAACACAATTAAGTATGTAATTAATTAGTATATGGGCGGAAATAATGGTGTTATATTTAATTAATGGTATACTCTTTGATAAAGATTTAAATAGTTTTCTTTTTGCATACAAATGGGCTAGTAATATTATCGTTTTGCTAAAAACGATAATATTACTAGTCTGTACATTTTGTACATTTGCTGCTTTAAAAACAATCTAAAATGTCAATATTCCATGGATATATTGATAAATGAAGTCTAAATTATAAGAAAATGCATTTTCTACGAAAACTTGAAGGGATAGATAAAAAATGGCATAATACAATTTGATAGACAATTTAATTGTGCATCTGATTCTCCTAAAATATACAGGGCATTCCGTTTAAATTAAAGAAGTTATTGCCGTTTGAAGCTAATAATTATTTTAAATAAATTTTTAGACACTCTGTATAAGGTAGTATTATTTTTGTATTATTGCAACACAATAACTGATCAATAAATAAACTTCATTAAATATTTAGTATTAAAACATTGATACCCTTGGAGAACTGAAGCTTTAAAATTTTTACTGCAATTTCACAAAAATTGAAAATATTTCAAAAACGGTAAGGTTTAAGTATAATAAACCTTAATCAAATTTACCTTTATTTTAATCGTAGAAACTAAAAATGTAATAATATACAGGGTGTTCCTTTTAAAAAAATACAACTTTGATATTTTTTATTTATTTGGGACACTCTGTATCTTGTAAAAATATTTTTAAATTGTAGCTCTAATAGTCCTTCAACGAACCCCAAACTTACAATTTCTAAAAATCTAATCGTTTAGCTACAATACTCTGTGTCGTATGTGGTGAACAACCCTGTATATGTATAATAAAAAAATTGAAAAATTTATAAAACGTATAGTAAAAAATTGCTCTATCTCTATTACTATTTATTTTAGAAAAAAGAACGATTGAAGGCAAAATATTCTAAATTTAAGAATAGAAGAAAAAAAGGAGATATTTGAAAAAAAAAACAAAAAATCCAAGATGGCGCCTGTTTTTTTCAAACTTCCTCCACTGGGACCGAATGGGACTTTTGAGGGGTTAAATTGGAGCTCATTATCTACACATTCCCGTTGAGATCGGTTGGTTACTAATTTTTTCCACCTCAACCTCCAGATTGACTGGCCTATAAAGACGCTACAGAAATCAAACTGATTTGTTTTCTTTTGCGTCTTTTGCGAGACATGCCGAACACTACACGCTTTTGGTCGGGCCACTCTTATATAACCCTGTTATTTTGTTTTAGTCGCAAAAGACGCTTCACAGAACAACCGCCAAAATCGCTAAAAGAAAGTTATTAATGTCATCAGACGGATATGGAATATTATGTCCACGGAATATTGCTCCCAAAACCAGTATATTTAAGCTTGACTCTACTTACGCTCAATTTCATCGTCTTGACAATTTGCTACTTGACTCAGAGCCAGTAACGCGACCACACAAATAATTGAAATCATCGGAAAAACCGAACAGAAACAGATTTTAAAGCACTGAAAGAATCTTCGCATAAAGTCTAATATTTTATTTGCACACTAGAATAGAACTTGGACTGGTTTAACTACGTATTGGAGTTAATTCGAGAGATATGCACATTTTTCTATGAAGCCAAACTACTTCCTCTATGCAATATCGTGATACAGACGCCTACAGATCCACCGGCGCAACTAAACAAGAGATCGAACATTGCAAAAATTTATTTATAATTATTTTTCTAGTTCCGTTAACATTGATTGATGTAACAATGGGAGTTTATTAAGAACTCGCTGGGTCCTGAGAACCACCCATGAAGCACCGATGTGGTACTCTTCAGTAGATTAGAATAAGAATTAACGTCATATTGATTGAATACATTTGTTGATTGTCATAGTTAATATACAGGATGCTACAGTATTAACTACTATACAGTACAGGGTGAGTCAACGATAGAGTAAAGTCCATTATCTCATTTATTTCGAGGTTTACAAAAAAATATTAAATATAAAAGTTATAGAGATGGTAAAGATACACATTTTAAAATTATTATACAGTATACAGGGTGCTTCAAAAAAGTGTGGCGAATATAACATATGTTTTTTTAAACGTAACACCCTATTTTTTATTTTATTTTTAGATTCTGTGTAAAATTCCATAACTTTTTTATGTATAATGTTATATACCTGAAATTAATAGTTTTTGTTATATTTAAATTTGTTTACACAAATGTTAGATTGCAGTGGGTTAAAAAATTGTCAATGCTGGCATTGATTCTGAAGTTAGTTGGACAAATAAAATTTGGTAGGAGTATTTTATAAAGATATAGAAAAAGACCTATGTAAAGATATCTTAGTTAGATGTTACAGGGTGTTCAAAATATATTTAGGAATTTCAACTACTTAAAATTAAGGAATTTCAATTTTTTTAAATGGTACACCCTATATATTATCATTTTTTCTGATAGATTTTACCAAACTCTATTATATTATTATACCTATTTTTATTAGTTTGCGCTTTCTTCCATTTTTTTCTATTTTTACCCATATTTTTAATACAATTTCGCTATAACATCATAGTTGCCATGACAAAAAGTAATAATTATCACAATTTCATGTCTGTTAAGCAAGTTAAGAACAAAATTTGAATTTTAGTTTAATTTGTTGTAATAAGTATAAATGGTAGAGATAATAGTTACAGATGTTCTTGAAATGAATTAGTCAATGTGATTGATATACACGCACAAGCTTAGAAAACCACATTTTTTGGTTCAGTACTATATATTATATAGTACTTGCTAACTACTATAAGGATAGATGTAAGTATGTATATTATTTTATCTTCCCCTAGGAGACGCAAGACCTTGTCGTTGGTGGGGAAGCTCCTGGTCAGGTGCTGGAGGGAATCCCCTCTAGCACTTGGCTTGGTCTAAGAAACATCTCACTCATCGTCTTGTCCCTGACTGGAGTGTCATGGCCAGGGAATTGCACCAAGACATATAACGATACCGGGCGGGGCTACGGACAGCTTAAACCTTGGGGCACCGGGGGGCACCCCATTGTATTTTACCCCTTACTTCTATATGCGGGGCTCTGTAGAAGTGGACCGACTGTCTCTAGCGACTCATAGGAACACTATGAGATCTAATAATAATAATAATAATAACATCACCGGTGAAGCTGTGAGGAAACCCCCTAGCGACACTGGGAACAGTAACAATGAAAGTTCCAAGGGGCCAAACCCAAAGAGAACTACAGGAGAGGTGGCTGACACTTGCGTGAGACCATCCTCCGCAAGTGGCATACAAGCTACCACCTCCTCCAAGGGTCAGGGAGCCTACCTCCTACCTCTAAACCCAACAGGCGACACAAGCTACCGTTTCGTCTACCCGGCCTGGGTCGTAGCTCCTCGACTGTGAGGGACACGGGTCTCCGTAGGAAGTCCTGGAACTGTATGATGAGTTATAACTCAAGAAAGGGGGACACAATAGATCTCTAAGGTCGCAGAGAGATTAACCCCCCTCCCACTTATTCTAATTCTAATGTATATTATCTAGAAAACATCTTCAGTGTGTAATGAGACGGTTTCGCGGCAGTAGTAATATTGGCTTTACCAAATGAATTATAAACCAGAATTACTACGAGAAAAAACTTTACTGTATGTCGAAGAAAATTCATATATCAGTAGTCTTCAGCAATTAGGTAATCTAGTATTACCTTAATCTGTGGCTATTCGCCCCGACGAAAAATCCCAAGTGTCATCTTTCATAATATAGAAATACACCAAAAAATTCACTACTGCGATTTAGTTTATTTGAGTAAAGTTAATTAATTTTACAATACCAGCAATTGTAACTATTTTTAATACCAGCAATTGTAACTAATTATGAAGCTACTTGTTAAAGGTAAGTAACAAATAGTTTTGTTTTGTCATGGCAACTATGATTTTATAGGGTAATTGTATTAAAAATATGGGTAAAAATAGAAAAAATGGAAATAAATCGCAAACTATCAAAAATAGGGATATGACATACTTAATAAAAGTTGAAGAGTGTTGTCAAATCTACCAGAAAAAATGATAATATATAGGGTGTCCCATTTAAAAAATTTGAGATTTTTTTTAATTTTAAATAGTTGAAATTCATAAATATATTTTGAACACCCTGTATCATTTAACTAAAATATCTTTACATATATCTTTTTTTCATCTCTCTATAAAACTCTCCTACCAAATTTTTGTACTGCAACTTCAGAAACAATGGCACCACTGACAATTTTTTACCACACTGCAATTTAACATTTGTTTAAATAAATTGAAATATTACAAGAACTATTAATTTTAGGTATATAACATTATATATAAAAAAGTTATGGAATTTTACGCAGAATCTAAAAATAAAATAAAAAATAGGGTGTTGCATTTAAAAAAAACATATGTTATAGCCGCCACACTTTTTTGAAGCACCTTGTATACTCTATAATAATTTTAAAATGTGTATCTTAACCATCCCTATAACTTTTATATTAAATTTTTTTTTGTAAACCTTGAAATAAATGAGATAATGGACTTTACTCTATTGTTGACTCACCCTGTACAGGGTGGCACCTCTCATACGCCTGAGGCTCCAAGGAGAACGGCAGTTTTTATTGAAATGAAATTTTGTAAATATACGTAGGTTAATTCAGAGCACTTTTTAAAAATATAGAGATTTCTACAGGGTGTCCCCCAAAAAAGTTACATATCAAAGTTGTGTTTTTTGTAATGGAACACCCTATATATTAATTGATTTTCGGATTCTGGGAGAAAAATAAAGGTAAGTTTTATAAGAGAAGTATATGACTAAAGTGTAAGGCTTTTGATATATTTAACATTTTCTAGAAATACAGAACAATTGTTTAAATTACAATAAAAGCTACCTAAATTGGAATTTATCCGGTATAGCCTAATATGTAGTTAAATTAAGTATTGTACTTTAAATCAAATTAAAACTTGATCCAAAAAGTTATACAGGGTGAGACAAAATTAATACTGAACATTGGTCACATTTAAAAGCATGTTACTCTCTTACTTTAAATGGAACACCCAGTATATTGTTTCGATATTCAATGGAGAATGCATATCTCTTCAAACTACTATTAAGGTTGCCTACCCTTCAAACAAAGATTTTCCTAGATATTTTCATTTATATGATTTGATCTAAGTAGATCTTTATTATTTGATAAAATCTAGGTGGCTGTGATATGTCTGACGTTACTTCAACATAGCTGTCTAATTAGTCCAACTTTAACAACTAGTTATCATTTTGTGTCAGTTAAAACAAAAAAAAATTCTCAGAAATTTGCCGAAAATGCAAACTTATCCTACATCAGAAAGAATTGATGTGATTCTATTAGTTGCACACTGCATTCACCAATTAATGTTCATAATTTTATCTAGTCTGTTTTTTTTACGGGGATATGTTAGAGACGGTGTTTACAAAACTCGACCAACTATTGTCGACAACATGAGAGAAATTATTGTAGCTGCTTTTCGAGGTAGAACTCCACATAAGCCTTTTAAAATGAAAAGATACTTTTGAAAAGACAATCATTTTATGCAGTTAACAGGAAAGGAAGCATTTTGAGCATTTGATTTAATCTAGCTAATTTTTGTCGCATAATTATAGGTTTATATCCAGTTTTAATTCTGTAATAATTAAAATATGTTTTAAACGTGTATCTTTTTATTACCCTTGAGTATTTTACTCTACAATCTTAATTTTTTGTTAAATTAACAAAAAGTATATCACACAGCCACCTAGATTTTTTCAAATAATAAAGATTTACTGACGCAAAATCATAAAAATTAAAATATCTGGGAAAGTCTTTGTCTGAGGGGTAGGCAACCTTAATAAAATTTTGAAGATACACAAATTCCCCATTGAACACCGGAAGAATATACTGGGTGTTCCATTTAAAATAACGGAGAAACTTGCTTTTAAAAGTGACTAATGTTCGATATTAATTTTGTCTGACCCTGTATAACTTTTCGGGTCAAATTTCAATTTGGTTTAACATACAATGGTTACTGTAATTAGATATCAGGCTATACAAGGTCAACTAAAATTTAGGTAGCTGTTATCGAAATTTAAAATTTTCTCTTCATTTTGAGAAAATGTGAAATATGTCAAAATCCTATAAAACTCACCTTTATTTTTTTTCTAGAATCAGAAAATCAATTAATATAGTCTGTAAAACGAATAACTTTGAATTTGACAGTTACCGCGGGCTTTTCTAGTGTTAATTTTATTAGGTTAGCAACTTGCGGCCATGCTGACGCAATGCCGTCTCTAATAGAACAACCATGGAGCGAGATTTATGACGTCACGCTAGTTAGATACTACGGATTCATAAATATGTTGTAGAATACATGGAAAACATAATTATTCCTCGTATTTTTGGTTTATATTTTAAAAATGATATAGTGTACATGAAATATACATAATATACAATTAATAAATACAATATATATACCTATTTATAGTAATAAATCTTTTGGCAAATAAACTATGAACCATACAAATGCAACAAATGTTTTACAATATGGCTGAAATCGTACTCCATAATCAATGTAGATAGTTTTAGTGTTAAGAATAATAATTTCAAAAAAAAATATGTGGTCATCTTTTGACAAGTTTATATTAGTTTATTAATTG